CGCGGAAAGAGGAATCGCGGAAACAGAACTAATTCATCTAAAATAAGTGTTTCTTGTAAATGTGTTCCACAGTAACTATTCACTATATATATAACTATTTCTACAAATGTTAGGTCGAAGAATACGTAAATAAATTTACAATAAACTTAATTTTAATGGGTCTAAAGAAAAGCCAAGCGATCCGGGTTATTAATACTTTGGATAATTGAGGTTCGGATAATTAGAGTTCTACTGCATTTCAAAAACGAATGTCAAGTTCATAAATTAAAACCCAAAAGCCAATTTTGTTGAATGATTAATCCGAAACTCGAAACAGGACGTAACTTAAATACGGTAAATTATAATTATGCATTGCTTATAAATACGTATATATGCACTTTTTTATGCAGAAATTTTGTTATTCCACAGCCTTAAATTTTATAACATTGTTCCAATAAGTAAAATTTAGTCAAAATTATAAATTAACTAACTACCATTTGACTGCTTTTCTCCGTAATTTTTTATAATGAACAATCTTGTCAAGGAGACATGGATATGTTGCACTAAATCGGAAATTAATTCATCCATTTTTTCACTAAAAGCGGTATTTTGGTATACCTGAAAACATAAAAAAATTAATATCTAAACAGCAAAATCTTCGTTTATTTTTAGCATAATTTAAATTTTTAATGGCGGTATATATAGACATAAGAACAAAATTTATATTATTTTAAAACTAGATTTAACAGTATTAGACAAAAGGCGCTTATCTGAAAAAGAAAGAATAATATATTACTTTAATATTTTTGAAGAGAAAAAAAAAAGTTGTTTAAGAAGTGTAAATTTAAGGTGGAATCATGAGCACAATTCAAAACAAACTTTGCAATGTATTAGCAATAGCAATGAAACACATAAAACGCATATGTATGAAAATTCTTAATAGATGCAAATTATAAGTTCACGCTGGTTCTAGGTTGCAAATATACATTTCCCGTTGCTGCTATCTTTACGAATTTGTCATTCTATGTGTTTCAGAAAAGTAACAATTAATGCATTTAAAATGAAGAAGAAAATATTAACAATTGTATGAGAAAACTGTTAAGAAAATTAAACGCCTGCCATTTGTAAAATTGTATAACTGTTTTCAATAAAAGAGGAAAAATTCCAGAAAAAACATAAATTGAAGCTAATTGCATTAATTACATTGTAAAGGTTACTAAGTTTCAACTGTTATTTTAGGTTTAAACATGCTTTACTGTCTATTCTCGTTTCCCATCTACTATTCCCTACCATAATGAGTTTTTAGCTCGTGTTTTTGCGGTTAGAAGGAGTATTTAACAGTTACTGTGGCGCTTTGTTAGAGTGCGCACTGTTTTGTGTCGCCAGAATCGGCCATGACGAGTATATCGTAATCACGAGTAAGTTGCGGTGGTAGATATGGATTTTCATCCAATATCTGGGGGTATTTATAAATGGGTTTTTTATAAAATTTAAAATTTTTAATAATATTACCTTATTTGGTTAACATAAGCTAATTACACACATATTAAATAAAACGCATCATTAAATGAAATTTTATATATAAAAGTAATTTAAATTCATGCTGGGAGTGATATCAGCGCAGGCTACTATAACATGGGACTTTGCAATCGAACACCAGAACGCGATTACTTCCTGATCTTACGTTTGTAGGCAATGCGAACACCTTCGCGTAGGGTTGTTTTTTTACGATGTTCGGGTAATAAGCCAACATGATTCCCGCCTATGGCTTATATTATTTCTAAGGGCCGAGTTTTGTGTCGATTTATTTTTCAATTGGATACGTCGCAAAGTGTCTTCAAGAAATTGTGCAAAAACGTTGTACGCAATATGTTTATATTTTTTTTTTATATAATATGAATGCATTCAGATTCTATGAAATGGAGAAATTTTGTAGTACTTTTTGAGTCGTTTTTGCTGTGAAGTACGCTAGAATTCCATCGCTCATATCCATTCCACCCATTTTTTTATTACACATCATACTCCGGTTTCCTTGTTCATTTTTTTCTTTCTCTATGCGTACATTTCTTACAGTACTTAATCCTTTCCTTTATCATTTCATACGCATGGAATATCGTCATACAAAATCGTGCCGCTTCTCCATGACGAGTATACTCGTCATTCACAGTTAACTGGTTAAGGAAAGTTCAACTTACTTCGATATAGAGTGCTTAGGAGTCCTTATTGGTATTTGCCTTCTGGCTACTTCGTTCTTAAATTTACTACGCTCGGCCTTATTGTACGTGCCTGCCGATAATCGCCGGCTAGGTAAATTTAACGGCCAATTACGTTAGGTATTTGTGTCTAGCTTCGGTTAAGTCTGTTTAGTTTAGTATTATATTAGTTTCTTATTTTCTTATCCTGATTTGAAAGCCCGAGTGGAAGCTTTCCCGTAAGCATGAGAAGGGGCCATCTGTTATTATTATTATTATTATTATTATTATTATTATTATTATTATTATTTTGAGTGAATAAAAAGGGTAATTTCACCTTTCCCAAAACTCTGTAGTAACTACTTGAACTCAGCGATAAGTTAGTTCACTTGGTTCACTTGGATAAGTTTATTCACTTATATGTTTGCTTGCAAACAATGAACATATATAACTAACAAGTATTTCCAATGTCTAGAACAGAAATGGGCAAACATTTTCGGTCGCGGCCAAAATAAGTTTTTCTAAAATTTTTAAAACAATATACAAGTATAGTATATTAGTATATTTAAATATGTTAATGAGATGAATGAAATTACGATTTAATTTTTAAATGTTCCTTATATTTAGGTTCGAAGTGAACTGTACTAATTCTCAGGAACGAGGCTAATGCTCATACGTGAGTCTACTTCTGAAATATCTTTCTACTTCATAGTTGAAAAACTTGTTCACATATATAAAATGAAGCAAACATAGCACTGATTTTCTGGGCCGGGTATTAAATTTGGGAATCTACTTCGATAATGATTCGCAAAACTCTTAACTTTAGCATTTTTAGAACAAATGCTTGAGAGGATTGTGAGATGCAACTCAATTATTCTAGCTGCAAATTGACTCACTCACTGCTTTCACAATTTACGTAAAGGCATGGTAAACCAATCTGTTCGAATGGCACAAAGTAATATTAGATACTGTTTACCTTCTTAAAAAATGTTTTGTCGGCTTGATAATTTTTTACAAAGACTTCCTGCAATTTGTTTTCTTTCATATCCAGACATTGCTTCCTAATTGGAATTCTTATGCTTTTAGATGTGAAAATGACGGGAAATGTTATATTTCTTTGAAGACTGCTACAGCTTTACTGCAGATGAGACACACTGGTTTATCTTTCACAACTGTAAAAAAATATTTCCAGGTTCATTCATCATTTAAAGTACGACACTATGAATCAACTTTACGTTGTTTAGTAGCCATTTTGGGGTTTAAATATTTTACGAATAACTCAAACAAGCACTAGCTACGCTATACTTTTAATTAATTTCACCACTATTCACAATTATCCTACATGTTAGCATTCTTTCCATACGCAATCAATAATATTAAAACTCGTTCCAAAAGAAAACGCCGCTGGCTGGAGCATTCTGCCACATGTGAGATATAATTCACCTATATTGAATTCCCATACGTCTGCTCCCCGAGAAAGAGATAACGCTTGTTAGCGCCAATCTACTGCTATAACTAACAGCCACTTTTAACACTTTACCAATTGAAAGCTGTCTGTGCTTGCTATTTTCGTCGATTTATGTTTTGAAGAACACATATAGAAATTTAAAAAAAAAAAAAAAAAAAAAAAAAAATCATCTTCCTTTGGAAAACGGGAAGAAAAAAAACCATTTTAAACAAAGTAGAAAAGGAGATGGATATATATAAATATATATTTCTTTTAATTTGCCTCCGAACGGCAAATTCAAATTCTATCCGCGGGCCGGCTAGAATCTTTTGGCGGGCCTACGGGCCGTAGTTCGCCCATCCCTGGGTTAACAACGTGCAAGATACGCTTTGCTAAGAGATAAAAGTATCTGTACAAGACTGTGAAAATTATTTCTCCCCTTTACAATGCATTATACATCATTTACTAGGTTAGATATAATGATGGAAAGATATTTATCATTATAAGATAGTGAGAATGATCTCTGGTCCTAATAATGCATTACAATTACTTTGGGTTTCTTGTTACAATATAGTATTCGTGTAATAACAAGAAAACTACTGCTGAACAAATTTATAGAATGAATAAGTACTGATATCCTACATGATATGTGAATAGGTATTGATATTTGAAGAAAGCGGATGAGAGCTGATGTTAGAGAAAAATACTGAAAACTGGAATTAGGTATTGCGTGATAAAATTTCCTTTACATATTTTTGCCGGATTATTTGTATCTTCTTATATTTCCGATAAATATGATATAATTATCTCTTATTTAGTTTCATAGTAATTATTATCTCTTATTTTTATTCAATTTAATGGACTTATTTCCAAAATGGTAAACTTATCAAAGATTTATAATACACTCACTTCGCATTCATAAGCTTTCTTGAGAAATGAAAATGCAATACGAGATTGAATTGGGGAAGTCAGATCAAATAAATCCTACAAATCAGAAAGAGAAAAATTAGTTTATAATTTATTCACGAACAAATTAATTTTACAGTCAGAACATTTTTTATTAAAAACGTAAGCAAGAAAAGCCCTTACCATATATGTTTTCCGTGCCAGTTTGTTCAAACATAACAAGTGAAGAAGGATATTAACATCGTGATTTTCTGTTTCCATGCTGGATTCTAGCCACATCTGAAGCTTGAAAATAGATATTTTAACATCTTTAGTATATGAAAGTGTTTTTCAGGTACGCATATAATCCGATATAAAAGTATACTACTACTAAATAATTAAGCCAAAAAAACAGCTTATTATTATAGAGCTTTAAACTGACATCAAATATGCAACTGAATTTTTCATAAATTGTAATCCACATATTTAAATAAAACTACAGTAGTCTCCCAATCAACCAGAGTAATACAGGGGACGACGCCCATGGTTAACACAAAATCTGTTTGCAGTTAATTCGACAGCAGTAAATAAAAACATCCCATATTATAATTAATAGAAAAATACTATTAATTATTTTATTGTATTTTAAACCAGTTTAATCTAGAGAAAAAGCCTATTATTTAGGTATGAAAATTAAATAAACTTTCAATTTTTTTTTTTTTTTTTTTTTTTTTTAAAGAAAGAACAGTGTTTTCGTTTACAATAATCTTGCATTATATTTTGAAAGGATTCAGTGAGAAACAGATAATTAATAGTTGCACACTTTGTAGAGACATTAGATTAATTGGAAGTAGGAGAAGTGAAAAATGAGCAACGCCTTCGCGGGAAATCGAACCGCGGACCTCTGGGATACGCGCCCAGCGTGCAGACCACCACACCACGAAGGCATGCTAGGAAGGCGGGAAAAATTCCTTATAACTTAAGCTACTATTTATCAATTTACCAATTCATTTTAATCAAATGATTAAATATTTTAAATTACATACATTAATTATATATCTCTAATTATGTACAATTAGCAGGTGTACTGTTTCGGATGAAAGCAATTCCTAAATACTGTGACATTCGATGTCATCACTACTTAAATTTCACTCATTTTCTTTCTACACATGCAGTAAAAATTTTGTTTTATTCTGAAGGTTTGTGATAGCAATTTTTTACATCATTCTGAAATGAACAAATTTAACGTATTTAAAACCAGGCTCTATTAATCCGCAACCGAATTAAACCGCTTCCGATTAATCGGGAGTTTGGCTGTATTAAAATAGAGCAGTTGTGATTTGCACTTCAGATCGGTCAAAAAGGGGACTATTTAAAACTTTGAATTGAATATAAATAAATATAAGGAAATAATTCTTTTAATACTTATTATATTTTTTTATCCCTCCATTTGAACAACGTAAATTCTAAAAAAGTTCTACTTTACTACTTCTCTCTCCTCTTTTTTCCTTCTTTTCAAGTACGCATCTCAATGACTGTGCTTAACAGCACCTTTTAATAGACGGCTTTCTAGCACGAACAATTCTTGCTTATATAGTTTTATATATATATTTGTCGACAGAATTTCAATTTATGTTTAAAATTATAAATGCTAAGGTTATTTATATATTTAGATAATATTCATAATTATTATACATTTAAATACATTTAATAACCAGATTTCTTCAAAATAACGTTCAGAGAAGTTTATGAGTCCTTTATTTTCAAATACATTTATAAATAATTTAATAAGTATTGACATATTTAGTTAAAAGGCAAATGCATTTTTTTTACAAGACCATGCATAAATACTTTTATATATTTTACATTTTTCATTTTCGGAAAGTATAAATCTTTATTTTCTGTGCATTACTTATATTTTTCGAGTAAACTAATTTACAATAATTTAGCATATATCGGAATTTTTACACAAGAAATATGTATAAATATTATTGCGATCTACGGGTTCGTGGATTTGGAGTGATTGATGATAACATCTGATGAAGAATCAAAACACAATTTATTCGTCAATATTAAACAGAACAGTTCTAAAGATCCGTTACAGTCGTCGAAAAACTATGACAAATACGCTAAAACAATCAGCAACGCAGCTTTCAGGCCATCAGGCTATAACGAGGAGGACAGTTTCGCGGCAAAGAACTGAAGTACAGCTCTCGACTCATTCGATCGCTCTCGGAACTCAAAGAACTACTACTGAACTCAACACACTCAAGATACTCTTCACGATAATCTCACGATGCACATAACTTCGCGTACAGGCAGGGTTTATAAAGCTTTTGACCTGCCTTTGAGAACATTCTGGGACAAACCGCTAAGAATTTGTTCTAGAATATTCTTGCTTCGTCTATGACATATTGGACAGTTTGTCGCCAAATGAGCAATTGTGTACCAAATCTGGCAAACCTGCCTTCCATTGCGATCCCTAAATATGCGTTGCGGGGAAGCTATCTTACCGCAGCTGGGCATTTCGTAGCAATGCAAATTACATGCATTATTTTAAAAAAAAATCAGTGTTCTTCGAAAGTTATACTCAAAGACCCTCTTCCCTTAGTAAGAACGTCCCTGCTTGCTTTACTTTATTTAAAATTTAATCTGACATATGTGCCGGATTACAAATTTAACAGGCAATTCGTATTTACATTCAGCCATTAAGATTCGAACTTTTGACTTAAAATGAGTTTTCGGATACATTCATTATCAAATTCAAATTTTCTGGTAAATACATTTTGGCAGAGCATTACAATACCTCTCTTAGTAGTTTTAACAATTTACCGTATTTGACGGCATATAAGATGCACTTTTTTTCCTAAATTTGGTCTCAAAAAAGTTACCTGTGTCTTATACGTGAAGGTAATTGCATTCAAAAATTGTTTATTTGGCTTTTACGAAACGTGAGAACTAAAAGAAACCACGCTATTGAAACTTTTTTCCTTGTGTGTGGCCGTCTAAATAAGGGTGCGTCTTATATGCCAGTGTGTCTTATAGCCGTCAAATACGGTAATAGTTCTCTTATCTATTGACACTTATTCTTGATTGCCTGCTCTGCATAACACTATTGCTTCATTTTTTGAAACAGTTAAAACAGCTAATTGATCTAAATTCAAAATATCTGAAATTAACGCATTGCAAAGAAATCCAAAATATAATAATATACAAAATATATGGAAATACCAATTAATAACATTGATGATGCTTTTTTCATGTCTTGAAATTGTTCTATAATGCGCAGATTACGACTATCCTCCTTTTATCGGGGATTAGATGAAAAAACAACAACAACAGCAAAAATGGTTACCTTTCATTCAACAGTATATGTGTTAAATAATAAAGATTTTTCATTCATAATTATCTAGTACATTTATTCATCAATTAAACATGTCCCAAGTGCAGTTAAAAAAAAAGAAAAAGAGAGAGAGAAGGATAACTGTAGTTTCATATTTTTTATGACTCTGTTAATTATTGATATTATTTTTATATTAAAAAAAAAAAGAAACAGCTAAAAATAGCGATTTGTTTATCCACAATGTTGAGCGAAGTACATACTACCATGTTATGTGAATGACAAAAAATATATTTTATTTAAAAAATTTTGATATTTGGAATATAAAACAAAATCAGCAAATACACTATTAAGAGCATCGAAAGAAGAGTACAAATTTTTACGCTTGTTAGTTTTAAGGAAATTGAGCTTTAAAGTGTGTTATCTATTTGCGATATTTTCACATTTTAAATTTACTTTAAGATTTATTATTCTTTACACATAACAAATATTTTGCTGAAATGTGTATTTTAGTAATTCAGTAGCTTAGACTTTTATGAAATAAATTCATAATCAGAAGTGCTATTGTAAGTTATCGAAAGATAACCAAAATGTGATTTGTCGGGAAATGCCACTAATTTATACAAATTGCTATTACCCATCCAGTTATGAATATTTCTTTTGTGCGGAAAGTGTCCCTGCTTTTCGATTTGTGTGGAAGTACTACAAAACCGCTCTCAAGGTAACATTCTTTGGACGTAAACAGAAGTGCCACACCCCCTTCGACTACCAAAACGCGGCAGCACTGCGTCAACCCGTAGAAGGAAAAAAAATGTCTCCTTCTAATTCCTTCCTCAGTGTTTTTCCTCCTCTTCATTTTTCTTTTCTAACTTATCTATATACTATACTGGTTACGTTAGGAGTTTTAACAAGGTCTTAAAAAATATATTAAACTCAGAAGAGTAAAAAAGGACTTTTAGATTGAAACATTCATGTAAAAGTATAGTTCCGTAGGCAATGAATTTGCCTGTTTAACAAATGCAATGGAAATATTTTAATAAATACAGACGAAAAAGTCATTGATCAGGACAGTTATGTGTGCACAAGAGATGTAGCAAAAATTGAAGTAGAGAAACAAATTGAGTTATTTAAGGACATGCCAGGAAGAACTGACAGGTATTTCGACTATATATAAAGAAACCTTTTCCCGTGCTTTAGATAAAGGTTTAGCTTTCGTTTATCGAACTTCAAATCAACACCAATGCATAGAAATTGCCAGAAGGCAGAACTTGGCAGAAGGTGCAGAACTTGGGTTTAGTAAACCATTATAAAAGTGACCCAGAAATTAAATTCATATTCGAAGGTGTTTTACACTGGTTCGCATTCGTTTAGAAGCGGTAAACGATGGATCTTTCTATTATATATAAAAGAAAAATTCCTGCAAAAAAAAGAAATAGAAATTTTCAATAATTATATGGTTGAGCAATGGTTAGAAAATGCCTTATTGGTGGCATGTGTAACTGTTATGATGGACAACCTAGAAGACATAATGTTCCAGAAAGATGTACTAGTGAAATAAATGTCCCTTTTAAGAAAAGTCACACTAATATATTTGAATTTATTCTGTTTTTAAATGAAGACGCAGCATATTATGATTTTCTTTGTAGCAGCGTGGAAATGAATATTGCCTTTCAAAGATATCAGAAACACTGTGACGTAGAATAAAACAGGCAGTCCAAGATTTCGAAAATAGGAAAATCTCCATTAGAAAATGTTTAGAAATATTTACGTTGTGAATGGCTACGTTATGAAATTTTTATGGCTATTGTAGAGACATCAGGTATTTTTTGGAAGCAGGAAAGATGAAAAATGAGCAATCGCCTTCGCCAGGAATTGAACCACGGACCTCTGGAATACCGGCCCTGCGTGCAGAACCACTACATCACGAAGGCACGCTAGAAGGTGGGAGAACCACATTATAGACTCCCTTTTTTAAAGGGTGACTGGGGGTTTTAGGGGACCCAATCGCCAAATCCTTGGTGAGGAGAATCATCATTCAATACCCTTTTTAGTTCGGGCGCCAGTGTAAAGACATTAGGATTTTTGGAATCAGGCAAGATGAAAAATTAGCAACGCCTTCACCAGGAATCGAAACATGGAATTCTGGAATACCGGCCCAGGGTGCAGACCACCACACCACGAAGGCACGCTAGGAAAGCGGGAGAAATACTTTATAGCTACGTTAATTTTTAGCCATAAATAACGTTATAGCTACGTTATGAAATTTTAAAAACTAAGCAATCAACTTGAATAGTAAGCTGTGTTAAACAATGTTAAAAATTGTGTAATCAGTTTTGATGTTAAGCTATGTTGTGAAATTTTAGGAAATGAATAACAAATTTTAATGTAATAAATATTAGTAAAGAATTTTTCTTGTTGAATTTTAAAGTATTTCATTAAATTATTAAAATGACAGTGCAATTAAAATGTCACTTAATTATTTATATATTTTCTCAAATTCCTTTCTAAAACTCTAAAAAAAGGCAGCGCTTTTTGTTGTGAGAGCGAACTGGTGTTACATTAAATGTGAATTTGTAGACTATAGTGATGTACAGAAATACTGAAGTAACGTTTATTTAATATGTTTTATACTACAACACTTACAAAATAACAGCACATGTAAATAAACTGTTAAACGTAAAATGAACCGTACATTCTGAATGAGAAAAGAAAATAACACCAAAAATAAACTTACCTAATTATGTGATTAAGGTTATGCAGTCTTATTTACTTCAACAACAACCGGTGATGGTCCGAATGTATAAGAATATAACCAAATATTCACCGAAGTATTTGGATAATGTCGACATTCTCCAATTTCCGTCTTTCACGGTAATAGATGCATCGAATTTTCAAGAGGATTGTCAAACATTTAAATGCACTGAACGGAAGCTATGAAAACTGGTTTTCTTTGAATCATGTTTTAACCAACTGTACTTTTAAATGCTTTCTTTTTTAACTAGGAAAATCGCATTTCTAAAGTTTTTAAAGGATTTAGTTAACGATAGTAAACAAAATTATTTGCAATAAATACAGTACGAAATTTATGATTTTATTTTGCATCGAATTTACACAGATCTTCTAAAAGTTATTGTTTTTGGATTTTGCAATAAATTATTTATAGAATTTGTGTTATATATTACTTCTTCTTCTTATAAAATGATGCTTCAACTAAGCATATATGATCAGAAATTAGAAAATTAACTATAAATTTGCGACTAGGAAATGTATTAATAGTTATTATTAATATAATTATAATAAAAATTATAATATTAATATAATCAGAATCTCCGAGTCCAGATTTCGATCAGATCAGAATCTCCGTGTCAAGTGCATATTGACAAGAAATATAAAATTTAGAAATTCGGACAATTATTTTAAACATTAATTTATCACTTTAGGTTTAAAACATTATTTGAAGTTAGTAATTCATGATCAGTATGCTGTAGAATTAGGATGGAAATAAGAGAAAATCTAAGTGAATTAACTAAAAACATTGAACGTAATTTAAAAGCTAATAGAATTTTTTTAAAGAAACTCTTCAAAACAAAACTTTTGATTCGTGCTTGATGGAAGGGTAGGTATCCGATTGTTTTGAGCATAATTTTTTTAAAGTTATTCATTTTTATGGAAAGCCTTAAGGTCTGATTTTTTATCACCCTACTTTTTTTTTTTTTTTTTTTTTTTTGTGTGTGTGTGTGTGTGTGTGTGTAACACTGCATTTAATTCTTGCCCATTTGATTAAGAAGAAAAAACAATCTTTTTAATGATTTTACAAAACGTCTTGAAGAATAATGTAAATAAAGTTTTCTTACCACATATGAACAAAACGGGTTAACTGAATCGTTTCTGAAGCACCACCACAGTAGGACTTTATGATGTGTATATATTAATGAATAAGATGATAATTTTGACATTAAAGTCCAAAGCAATCCATTAGCTAAATGAAAAGATTTTGAATTAGACATAATAGTACAATTTAAAAATACAGGCTATTAACAGAAATAATGAGCAAAAATTAATAAAGCAGAAAACTGCTGGTTACAAGAAGTAAATATTCATAAAAATAATAAAAAAATTTAAATCTGAAAGGTTTCAGCTTTTAAATTACGTCCAAAGGGCCGTTTTTTAACATTTTGCGTGTTACCTTTATTTATTAAATATCACGTTCTTCGGACGTAAACCATAAAATTCAGTTCATGAGCAATATGGCAAAAGAATTTCGATGCGCACTCTCGCGCTGGAGATAAAAATGTTTTTTCTGTACAACGTTGCCATTGTTCGATTTGAAATCCTTGAGTTTGCTACTCAAAAATTCGTTAAGTTTTACGAAATATGAAATCCATAATAAAACAAACTCTAAATTCTAAATTCGAGCTTCCAGATGCTCATATTCGACTGGACTACGTTATTCAAAATCTGATGTCTCTAGGTACCGTTATTTTTTCACACTGTAAGAAGCATACATACATTTATGCAGATACTTAATTTAATTTCTTTAAATGTATTACAGGGCAATAATATTTGGTGGGAACAATTTGAAAAGTGAAACGCCACAAAATACCAGAACTAAATTAATAGCCTCAAATAATTTCAAATTAAGGCTTCCAGATGCCCGCAGTAGGATTACGTCATTCAAATTGGATGGCTCTAGGTACCGTTGTTTTATCACAATGCGAGAAACATTTATGCAGATTCTTCCTTATTTAACTTCTTCAAGTATAATACAGGGAGAAAATATTTGATGGAAACAGTTTGAAAAGTGAAACGGACATTCAGAGTGATTCAACGGAAAATCGCGAAATGAAAACAATAGTCCCTCAGGGACAAAGGCCGTTTGGTCTAAAATTTAATATGACAATAATTAATAAATATGAAATGTCACAAAACCAGTGTAATTGTAAATAATACATTATTACAGCTGATGTTGAACAGAAAATAGAAATCAAAACCTAGCTTCATTTGAAGAACTAGCATTTTTGCCATTATAGGTTTTTACTACCTTTTCAGAGCGAGTGAGTGACGGGAGCTTGGGCACCATTCCTCTACCATTGTTAACCGATTTATAGCCACATCCACCATACTACCGTTATAGAGCGTTTTAGAATTATAAGGTATTTTCTCCCTCCTTTTTGCATGCCTTCGTAGTGTAACGGTAGCACATTCGGCCCGCATTCGAGAGGTCCAGGTTCGAGTCCCGGCAAGTGCATTGCTCATATTTCGTGTTTCCTACATCAGACATCCGAATGACTCTACAGTGGCGCCCGAGCTAAAAGGTGGTGGACGATGATTCTTCACCACCAGGATTTGGCCATTGGGTCCCTTAATTCGCAGTCGCCCTTTAAAAGGGAAAATATTAGGTCAGTCCATAAATTCTTGCGCATTTTTTGGTAAATTTTTAAATAATATAAAAAAACACAATTTAACATTTTAATGAATTATATATTTTCCTCCATTATCTACAATGTCTCGCCATCTTACAGGCAGCTTTTTTATGCCATTGCTGTAGAAAGACTCTTGTTTTGATTCAAAAAACTTGAAACTTCATTGTGTACATCCTGTTTAGAATTAAATGTTTTCCCAGTAAAAAAAAAAAAAAAAAAAAAAAAAAAAATGCAAGGCACGAAATAAGTGAAAATCACTTGGAGCAATATCTGGGGAGTATGCAGGATGTGGCAAAAGCTCCCAATTAAATGCACTCATTTTTTGCAGCGTTTATCGAGCCGTATGCGGTCTAGCGTTATCATGATGAAACAACACTTTCTTGATCGTGGGTGTTTTTTGATCAATTCTGAGTTTAGACGGCAAAGTTATTCACTATAAAATTCTGAATTAATCGTTTGATTTGGTTCTAACAGTTCAAAACGTCCTAAACTGGGTTCATCTTTCATGCTGCTTTTTCAAACTTAAATTTTTTTAAACCATTTCTGGGCAGTCCTTACACTAATAGTGTATTTACCATGTACACTATTAATGTTTATCGCTGCAGACCTGGCAGATTCACCACACGAAAATAAAACATGTAGCACAGCACGTTTGTACTGATTATCTATATTCATCTTCTATGGGTACTAAAATGCGTTCGATATTTACGAAAGTGGGTGATGAACTGAATAATATGTTAGTCAAACGATGACAAGTTTCAACAGGTTAAAAATTGTATTGTTTTAGTAAATGCGTCATAGTGAATTCCACGCATATTCTTAATGCGCGCAAACTTATGGACTGACCCGTTTATAAGGTATTTTCTCCCTCCTTTTTGCATGCCTTCGTGGTGTAACGGTAGCCCACTCGTCGCGTATTCGAGAGGTTCAGGTTGGAGTCCCGGAGAAGGTATGCTCGTTTTTCATGTCATCTGATACAAAATAACCTAATGTCTCTACGCAATAAAATAATATATCTTGAATGATGGTTTCCAGAACAATGGTTTCATTTTAAAGGAATGATCTAAAATGAGATGGGATGAAATTTCTATAAATTTAATTACATGTATACAAGATATATATTTTATATAATGTCCACAAAGAGCCCATTTCCATAGCGAATCAGTAATAAAAAATTCGTCTTCACATGATTAAAATTATCACAGCTATCATTAATTAAAACTTGCCAGGACTGTATGCATATATTGTTAAAGATAGCTAAGTAACCTATAAATCTTTAAATCTTTTTTCATTCAATTTTTCTACGTGTACAGTGAGAAAATTTTATGTGTGCCCAAACCGGACACACCGTGCCTCAAAGTGTCATTCGTAGCGCATTCTTACGGAAAAATTGCTGAAATGTTTAAAGAAACCTTCCCAAATATTCAATGATTCAACAAAGAATAATGATCTTTTGCTTGGTAACCTGATTCTGTGAAACTAAGCGTTTTCACCGTAAGAAATAAAGTAGCCACCCATCTCTTAAGCACTCGGAAAAAATAGATAAAATGGGTATTAAATCTTGCAGCTGAAATCAAAGAATCTGAGAAAGATGACATTGCAATCAAATTTATTCGCTGCGAAGTACTGGTCAATCATAAAATTTTGTTCTGCTCAAGAAAAATTCATCTACATCTTGCACGAACAAAGGGCTTTTAAAGTAAATAGCATGTTTCCCTTTTTGGATCTACCTATATAATACAATAATATTTTTGAATCACTCTCTGATAATATAATATTACATGTGTGTATATATGCATGCGTGCGTGTGTAATAATTTTAGTTATTTACTAATATTATTTATTTAAGTATTATCGTATACAAGTGCATAACATTTTCTGAAATTAGTTACATGTGACCGACATGTTATTGGGAAAAAATTGTATGGGAAAATCTAACCTTCACTAAGTCCAGTATCCAGCTTTATACCTTTGGAAACACATTCATACATGCAGACCTAAAAGAAAAAACAATTTATTTGGAAAAATGTGCGAAAGTGGAAACGGAATGAAAAAGCTTCAGTGTTTCCTTCTAATTTTATATACCGGCTAACATTAGATGTCAGCCAGTAGATAAATTTCTAAAAATGAAATTTTAAACAAAATTCTAAAATTTACATTCGTATTTATTTTAATTTCCGAATACTTTGATCGTCATTTTAATTTTTATCTTATACTGATATTTATTTTTCATGCAAGATGGTAAGGAAATGAGAAGTTAATTGTTCCAAAAAATATATCGTTAGGCATTTTTCTTTGGAAAAATTCCATCCATATGTAAGCTATTAAACTGCGATCGGAAAGTATGTAAATTTTTTATGAAAGATTTATAAAAGAAAAGGAATTTAATTATATTTTCTTGCGTTACTACAAATATGAAAAATTACTTGATTTTTTTATATTAAAGTTAGTATTAACTAATTGTTAAAAATCATCCTTATGTTGCTGAAGCACTTTTAGGCGCTCTAATCCCCCGTCAGATCTTTGGAATAAATTTTGAAATTATTTTTAGCACTTTCTGAAATATGTTATTTGAAACTATTACATGAACTATCGGGCAATTTTGCATAAGTCAAAATTCAACTGATTTTTCAAAATTGTTTAATAAAAAATTATTTTAATTCTCAGACCTAAACATTTATAGACAAAAACCTAAATATTTACAGGCAATAACCTAAACACTTTTGGGAAATGTTTTCCAGAGATTTAACTTTTCCAGACTTTTTACAGTATTTTAAGTAACCCAAGAAATGTTTAAAATAAACGTTTTAGGAACCATATATTACAAAAGGAACATCCATATACATGCACTGATGTTTGTAAACATAGTTCTTTTAAAATAAAGCTTTCGATAAAAAAGAAAAAAATATTCGATCGTACCAAAGTTCCGAAATTATGAAAACAAATATCGATTAGAGAATCTATTTTTAAGAAGCAAAAAGGGATGAAGAGTTCCAAAAATTTATTCCCAATGTACTCGCTGTGTATCAAGAAAACTCAAATTTATTAAAATAATTTAAAATACACCTAAAATTTACACAATGTCGGACGAAAAAAACGTAAAATTGTTTAGTAACTTACGGACAAATCTTCTGAAATCTTCCACTGACTGAATTATTTTCCGTAGTTATCTAGTCTGCGTATAGCAGACTATCTTGTGAAACGTATAAGATAATATTCACAATTTTTCGTTATTTTTGCTTTTAATTGATATTAGAGTTTGCAACTCAAATGCTGGAAACATTTTTCAAAGCCGCAAAATGCAGTGACATTCGATTATTTGTGGAAAATATTTCTTGTTGATTACTTTCATGACACATCACAATGGGGACAATCTGCACCACACAATTTTGGTGATGACGCATTACATTTTTAACAGAAGCAGTCAAGCCAGAAACATTATCAAGCTTAGGTAGCAAGCTTAGTTTAGAGATAGAAAGTACACAGTTGGATTGCCAGGGTCTATACGCAATGAAGAAGGTTATGATTGCACAATGCAAAATTAGTTTTAGATTTGAAGCAGTCTGGAGATAGTTATTACCACTTTGGGAATAGAGGGGGGAGGGCACAAACGAAGAGGAGGAATTAAGGGGCTACTGTTAATATAAAGTATAATTCAGAGTTGCTTATTTTTTATCATTTGGCTTGGATTAAAAATTATATTTTGACGATAGTTTGTAAAGAGTTATAAGTATCTTACACTTAAATTTTATTTTTTATAACTTATTTATTTATATTTTATATTTAAATACATTTTTAATGAATATTAAAATTTATTTTATATTTTAATAAAATTTATACTTCAAATTTTATATTTAAATAAAATTTTCCAGTTTGAGCAAGTTTTATTTAATACTAACAATACTTTCTTCAGAATTTCAGTAAATTTCTAATATTTTTTGGGTACTTTTCCGTTTTGCCGGCGCAAGCGATAAAGTTTCCAATAATGGTACAACTCATGCCAAACGGAATATTCTCGTTGGTAATCTTTTACGCCTCATTTTCAAAACAAGTCGCAGCCATTTCTTATCAAATTGATTGGTTCTTTCAATACTGGCATACAATTACATAGAATTTTTAGCAGATAGTACAATTTTATGCCCTAAGGACATTCGCGATAATCAAGTCAATTAGAATGCAATGACACCGCTCACCCGAAGGCGAAAATGTAGAAAGGGCAAAGTCAAGGGTTAACTTCATCACTTCTAATGAGAATACACTAGCAAAGCACTGCGGTTTTACATAATTTCTGAGCAAGCTGTTGGTACGAATTGAAATAATTCTTGCATTTAAACTTGTATTCCAAATTAAGATTTAACTTGAAATTAATGTAGATAATTACCGAGAGAATTAGATTTTTGTAGCATAATTTACGGGAGATGAGATCACTTGGGGTCACGTGATACGAACTGATGAATCAGCTTTTTGAACCATGAAAGCATAATAAATTCTTAAATTAATGTCTTTTCAAAAGTTTATTGTCTTTAGTTATTGGCTTTTTTACAAAATTTTAAAAGATATTAAAATTTTTATGCCTTCAAAATAAAAAAATTCTTAAAACTAACATTTGTTAACATATTTTGTTTTGTGTGTGTATACCGTATGTTGTCGCCAATAAAGTCTGTTTGGCGAAGTTTGCACCGGCGAAACGGAAAAGTACCATTTTTTGCTATTTGATTCTGTATTTAATCACTCCATATGTAATTATAAGCACAGTTTTTCTTCAAATATCTCATTCAAAATAAATTTCATTTCCGAAGCCATACTATATATAAGTTACATTTTTTGGAAAAATATCTTCCCTTCTTTTAATGAAAGGTGCTAGACATAACTCGAAAGAGAAATTTTATATTAACTCTAAAAAGCAATAAATTATCTTTCAAATGATATCATAAGTTAAACAAAACACGCAACTTACAGCGATAATATATATCAAATGTTTCACTATAATTTCCGAAGAGTTGAAGGTCTCGTAATTACACGTGATATAATACGCCAAATGAGGAATTAGCAATTTAACATCGATTAACCTAAAGGAAAAAAAAAAAAAAATAAGTATATGTTCTTCCGTTATTCAATAGTTTGTTAATATGATTCATTTTGAGGAAAATTTTTAAATCAGAAAATAATTGTAAATATAAACTTACATTTCTTCATTAGTAAAGGATATGTAACATAGACACAGGAAAGCTACTTGAGCTGAAGCGATGCTGGATGCGGAAGAGCTGCTTTCAGTTACGTCACATTTCTGCGATAGGAAATAAGCACATTCTTGAAAGGAGCCTATGACAATGCATAAGATATAAACAATATTATAATTTTAATCAGATTTTTTTAAGAAGTTTTCATGCCCTGGCTAAAAAATATGACATCTTTGTCTCATCTGATTAAGCAATAATTAAATACCTATAATTCATTTCATTGCAAAACTGCTGCTAAAAGATTTTGTTTTTATTTAATTCAACAATTTTTGTAATACAAAAAAGGTAATTTATTTTCATTAATAAAATTACACATAATAGGAAAAGGCTTAAAAATGTCATTTTTTAAGAGAGCTATTAACTTTTGTATTAATAAACAAATAATTAATTTTAATATTTGTTGAGTTTTTACGCAATTTCTTTACTAACCTGTATTTTGACATGAGAACAGAATCTGCCAATGGATTATTTTATTTTATTTAGGTCGTTCCAGCGAAACCACCAAAACTGTTCTTATTTTTAAGGCACAAATTCGATTGGAATGTATTATTGACAATTTCTAACGCTAACAATTACTAGTCTAATTCCATTTAAGCAATCTCTTCGTGATTGTAGCAAAATGGAAACGTTAAAAATAGTATAAGAGATAGAAACATTTGCCCAGTCTAAAAAAAAAAGGTGATAAACAAAGCGAATTGACAGCTTTACCCCTAAGTGAATAAAATAGTAATAAAAATCTAAAATATGGTCCAACGGTTCTTTAAACACATATTCAGCGCGAAAAATAGCTTGATATGAAACGTAAATTGTGTGTCCAGTTTCCTAAGCATTTCTGAATTAGCAAGTACAAAGCCTAACCATCTTAAATGTTAAATTCTGGCTCTGTGAAGACAATAAGGAAAATTATTGCCTCGTCCTTGAAAAGTAACATCAAGTCGGGAGAAAGATTAAAACAATTACATCTTCAGTCTAGCGATTTTCACAACCCATCTAATAATAAAAGACTCCGATACTTGCAGATTAACCAAATGCAAACGCTAAAATAAAACTTAAGTATTTAAAATGCGATACTCACAAGACAAAGTTCGTTATAAGTTTTGGCTCATGTCCTCAACTCATGTGAGCAGACATGGCTAGCATAGGCGATTGAAGTAAATTCAGAAGCTATGCGAAAATTCATATTGAGATGACCAAGTGTCTCTGCCAAAAGCTTTTTGCCAAATTTAAGAACTCTGTTTTTATGCATGTAACTGTGAAAGACCGAAATTAGGGAATGTCGGTAATATTCGGGAAATATTGATACGTGCCAAACACAAGAAAGTTGGGCCCTGAATTTTTTAGAATATTCTCACAGTTTTGTATTGTTAAATGGCTACTGAATGCTTCAAGAGGTGATAAACCTCGAGTTGTTATTGTGTTGACCATGTAATTTCAGGGAAGAATGGTCACCAGGGCCTCAAAGAGGTTAAACTTCTACGTTCCACCCTATTTTAAGGTAGAGAATACCAGGAGGTGGTCCGGGGTGGAATCTCTCCCATACCACCAAACCACACCAGAGGACTTTCGACTCATTACATATTTAGAGTGCTCCCATGCCGCAAAGACACTATACATTTACAAATATCCGGGCCTTCAGTATGCAGCAGGCTTCCCTGATTACTATGGGCGACATTAACCTCAACTGAAAGGGCATTAAATGATCAACATTCATTGGATGAATTCATACGGATGTAAAATCATGTATATAATATACTATGCATAATGTATGGAAGACTGATCACAAAAGTCTTGCTGCAGTCGAATAAACAATATTAAAAGGCTTCTTAATCTACGAGTTCTTAATCTCTTAAGAAATCCTTTGCCGATCTTCGCTCTAGATGAGGGTTTACAAACGTTTTCACAAGAGTCAGAACTAAATGTTTTTAGGCTATGCGAGCCAAAAGAATAAGTGATGATGCTATGAAGTTAAGATCTAGCGAACTTATAAAACCAAAATTTGCTCGCACAAATCTGTTCAAGAAATCCTAGAAATCCTAAAGGCAATGTATACAGTTATTTGCGACGCTAGTTGATTTAATATCACTAAAAGAATTTTTTTTTCTTATTTACGTTTTAATTAATTCTTGATTATCTTAAGCAGGAAGTTTTCATTTGTGGCGGGGCTATATTTTTTCGTTGCTGCGCTGCAGCTACCTAAAAGAGTAATTGCTTTCCATTACCATGTGTTTAACCGTGTTTTCTATTTACACCTTCTTAACCGACGCCATTTTTATTTATTTACTTATTTCTTTATTTTTTTTTTAGCTTCGTGAAGTGCCTCTACGATTTGATAGTCATAAAAAGATTAAGGTTTAGTGTCAAAAATTTGTAAGTATAGATATGACTCCTATGCAATGAAACTGCAAAAGATTTCGGATATTTCATTCAAAGAATAAGGAAGATATCCTTTTTACAGTTTCTAAAACAATTGTTCTTAACTCCACAAATCGTATAAAAACATACGGCGGCCTTATAATTTATTATTAAACATATGCCGGCCTTATAATAAATTAATTATCATTCACGTACAGTATGTTCCTATTTAATTAAGATACAGAAAACTATGAAACCCAAAATTCTGAACTATATTACTCGCTGAAAAATGCAATATACAACAAAATGTTGCCTCCTCTAGGTGTAATTACTGATTAGCCACTTCTAGTAGTAAATTATTGACTATATATTTATTGTATCACGACTAAAAGCTTAGACTTAAGCGCACTAGGTATGCTATTTTTTATCTTTTTATAGTTAGAATAATCTGTACTGCTAAAAATTGTGATAAATTCACCCTATATGATAATTCGCTTTATTACTCTTCCATAAGGAGTATACTGTAGATGGGAGTGGTCAACTAATCCACATTTTAAAATGAAAATGGGTTTTTTAAAATTAATTTTGGCTATTATTATTAAAAATATTGCTCCGCAAACAACACTTACAGTCAAGATGAACGATTCCACTGTCTACTGTTTCCATATATGTATCTGAAGGATCAGATTTCTTGAGAAAACAATGTAATACGTTTTTCAGGCACTGATTGCAAACGTCTTTTACATCTACAAAATCGCTTTGAAAACGAAAATAAAGTATACATTATTTAAAACAGAAATATCAAATAAAATTAATAACAAGAATCATACATTACACTAATTCACTTTCAATGAAAATGCTTTAAAACCGAACAGCTATCCGGAAATGTTTAATTAGGAAGCAACTGATTGCTATTTTATAATGTAATAGTATAAATTTTAAATTCAGGATAAAACACAGGAAAAGATAATCAGCAGAGTGAGCAGCAGTAGATAATTGTATTAAAAAAGGAAATAAAAAATTGGAACTGATTATAACTAATTAAATCCTTAATCTTGATACAGAGCTCTTCGAGCGCTTCTGCAACTACCTGGTAATAAGCCATTAAATTAAAAAAAAGTAAAGGTAAGAAAAACATTGTAGAGACATTAGGTTATTTCGAAGCAGGAGAGATGAAAATTAATATGCCCTCGCCTGAACTCGAACCACGGACCACTCAAATACGCGCCGAGTGTGCTGACCACTACACCACGAAGAGATACTTAGAAGGCGGGAGAAATAGCTTATAACATGAATAGTCAAAAAAGACTCTTAAACTGATTTTTTAGTTTCTATAGTTACTTCATTTTATTTTGCGTTAAAATCTGAATTAATGTAAAAGAAAAAAAAAAAAAAAAATACAATTTGAATAATTTTAAAATACTGTTTATTCGATAAGCCATGTAATGATCAGACTGAACATCATTGAAATAATAGCAAGGAAAGGCCTGTAAGTCACAAAGCATTAGACTAGATTGGATTATTTGATGCTAAAGCACGGCAGGGCTCTCTGCCTAGGGAAAGGAATGTCTCTGTGTAGCCCATTCTATAGAAAACTAGCTTGTATTCATGTTATAGATGAAGGAAACTATGAAAATGTTCGTATAGCCAGCTCATTTCCCGGGATAAGAACTACTAGTGTTCAGTGATTTCATCCACTCGGCCTTTATTTGTAGGTAAAGTGTAACTGACAATCGATGTACAAGTTGAACATTTTATAATCATATGGCTTAAAGATTCTGTTAAGTCTATTTCAGTATAATATTTTATTTAATTTGCATTTATTAAAACCAGCATAAATACTGGATATATTCACCGTAATTTGCAAACGATCATTTCAACAAAACTTTGAAGGGGTAAAAAAGAGTCTATTTAATAAAGTAAAGCAGAAACGTACCAATTAGATAAATAGGTTTCATTCATTTTCACATCCCAGAGATGCTTAAAAAGTCGAACTTTTAGAATCTTCTTTGCAAATGCAAAAAGTAACTCATCATCTGCATTATCTTCAAATAAAATCGATAGAACTTTGAAGACATGAAACCAAATTATCTGCCCGACGTGAGCTTTTGAATCGAGATGCTGAAAATATAAAAGTTATTGAAATTAGATTAAGTTAAAACACATGAATTTTCAGATCATAATTTACATGATATTTCATTTAGATGTTCAATGAAAGAAATTATTAAGTTCAAATTTAAAATAGTTTATTAGCGATATTCATTCTTTCGTATACAAGAAGATTCGTTAATGATATGCGCCTCAATATATCCTCCCACATATCATCTAGTGTGATATACGTCTCAATATATTTTCAATAATATCCTGCGGAGAGATCCAGTTTTCATTTATCTCAATACAGTTGTTAAAAGAGTATACGTTGTTAAAAGAGTATACAATACAGTTGTTAAAGTCAATACAGTTGTTAAAAGAGTATACGTTGCGATGTGTATACGTTGTCACCCAAATTCTGCCAAGTAAGACTTCAGATTATGCCACGCGTGTTTTTTAATAAGTCGGAATTGAGTCACTTGATAATTACATATCTGACTAGTATTACTCTAATGATATAAATGATATTTGTAATCAAACAATTAGCATTCTGTCAATCCATCTAGACACTGAAAGTATGTTACATATTATCATACATGCTAATGCAACAATACTGAAACTGGAAAAATAGCTAGATGTTACGGACGAAACATTTCGTATAGAATGGCGGCTTTCGCATTCATTACACATAAAAATTTCTGCCAGCTTTAAATGTGTTTGATTTCGGATTGGATGTACGGCAAAAGAAAAGTAATCAAGATACAAAGTGAGAGAGTCGTTTTTAATTACAATCAAGAAAATACCATAAGTAATTTATCAATATAATTTTAAAGCTTTGCCAAACTTTGATTTAAAAAAATGAATTGGTTTTTGGATTGCTTCAAATTCAAACTTTAAAAAAAAAAAAAAAAATAATAATAAAAAAAAAAAAAACCTAAAAGCTTTCAGATTTTACATTATAAATTATGCCCCAACGGCCGTTTCTTTAACGTTTTCTGTATTACCATTATTTATTAAATAGTATGTTCGTTGCACTTAAACCATAAAATTCAATTCAACAGCTATATCGGAAAATAATTTTAAAATGAGCAAAGCTTTAGAATTTCCCATACACAGTCTTGCGCGCTGGAGATAAAAATGTGTTTTTTTTTTTTCGAACAGTGTTGCCATTGTTCGCTTTGAAATCCTTGAGTTTGTTAATCAAAAATTCGTTAATGTGTTACAAAATATGAAATCGATAATAAAACAAATTTCTAATTCTAAATTTGGGCTTCCAGATGACCAAATTCGGTAGAAGATTACGTTATTCGAAATTGGATGGCTTTAGGTACTGTTGTTTTATCTCAATGCTAGAAACATACATAGATTCATGGAGATTCTTTATTATTTAATTTCTTTAAATATAACACAGGGCGATAATATTGGGTGGCAACAATTCGAAAAGTAAACCAACATTTATAGTGAACCAACGCAAAATGCCAAAATGAAAATAGTCCTTCAGGGCAAATTGTCCCTTTGGACTAAAAATAAAAACCTCTGAAAGTATTTATTAATATTAAGCTCATAATAATCTCGCGAAGTTTAACACTCTGGGATGTTTTATAATGTAAGAATATTATTCGGTTTTGTATCCCTCTTTCCGCCTTTCTTAATCTTTCGGACATTTGATTAACCAGTTTTTCCTAAAGATGTTTTCTTTCTGATATTTTTGCAAAAGCTTCTTTACCAGCTTCTTCTACGCACATTGAAAACGTGCAAAAGACTTCAGCTATTATTTATGGGACAGAATTCAGCACGATCCGTTGTTGCTTGAACGTAAATCACTCGCAAAGCTTCCTCGTTGTTTAAACTTTTGCATTCCGTAGGCACCAAAAACGTGACAATTTTGATTTTCTCTAAAACTGCTGTATTAGAGTAACAATGCAAAATAAAGGTTAAGATGATCAATAAAATGAAAACGTTTTCGAAAATAAATAAATAAATAAATAAAAATTGCAAAAATAAAAAAATTAAGTCGCAATTAGATATACTTGTGTACATGAATACATTATTTATCTATCAAAGCAAACATATACCTATGCGATTACGAATTTAAGATCTTGTTAATATTGGATGTGCCGGGATTGATTATCACTTTTGGGCATCTCTAAGGTAAAGTCGTGTGTACTAGTATCTAAAACGAAAATACCTTAATGAAAATACCATTGATTTAAAAAAAAATGAATTGGTTAATATTGCAAAAAAAAAAAAAAAAAAAAAAAGAGATTTATATTACTCAAAATTTAAATTATGATGGCAGTGACATTCAATCTGAAACCGAAATTATTATTGGCAGTCGCAGGGATAATGTTTATGCAAGTGTTTAAGATATATTCCGTGAATAAAAATTTAAATTCTGAACATGAAAAGTTTAATTTTTTAAAGCCCCTTATGCATTTATGCGATGTGCTTTCTATGACGCATTTTTAATGCAATCCTTCAGAGAAATACTTCGCTTCCAATGCTCCTTTACATCCTTTTTCTGTGTGATTTTCAAATTAAAATGTGCTATTTAATCCATAAAATATTTACTAAGTGTTCTTGTCGTAAACTAGAATTAAAAATCTGATGTATACCCACATGACTTCCTTATACGGAATATTAAATTATATGCAATTTTTTTTGCACTTCATTTAAAACTTATTTCTTGGAATTTTATTAGAGATAGATTTCTCATTCAATTAATTGTTCTGACTTCACGGCAAGGCAAAAAAAAGATAAAAACTCAAAATACCTTAATTAAAAATTTAAAAATATAGAAAAACACAAAACACCAAATACAGTTAAAACAACCAAAAAGACAATTTTTGCAATTCAAATTAAGATTTTCTAAGCAAAAACAAGCAATTCGGCCAGCGGTCGAGAAGGTAGAGTTTTCGGTGCATGCATATTAACTAAAGGCATAAAAGCCTTAGCCGGAAGATAAGAACAATATCATTCAAACATTTTTAAAGCAGAAAATGCCCATTTTACCAACATTTAAAAATACAAAAACGAGGTCAGGGAGTCGAGTAACAGAGTGAGTATAATAATACGTTTTGGTGTGGCCGATTGACACCAAAAAGGGAAGTGCACTACTATATGCTATAGAAGTCCTATATATAAAATTTCAACTTTCTGAGGCTAATCGTTTTTAAGTTATGCGAAATACATACATTCACACATACGTACGTACGTACAGACATGACGTAAAAATCTCTTCTTATCCATTTTAAATCCTTTTAGTAACCCGTTTTGGGTAAAAGAGTCCTTTATCCTTACTAGGGATTATAATACTGGTATACCGGTATACCGAATACCGGTATTTTGAGCCATTTGTACAATTTTATAATACCGGTATTCACCAGTTTAAATACCGCTTTTTCGGTATTTACTAGAAATTTTTTAAACTGTCTCCACTTTATGTTCAAAGGTCGCTAACATAGCAAAATAATATACGTTTTTGTTTTTATCTAACGGGCGAAATTAATTAGACTGTGAGTACAAAGTTGCATCGTACAGTCTAGAGAAGTGATACTATATGTGAAACATCCAAGAAGACGAGCTAAAACTCTCCTCTCCTATTACAGCTCAGAGCGATACTACACACGAGCAGAATTCGTAGTCCGATATTGGTATCTGTGAAAACAAGGTTGTAGTTGTAAAAAAAATGCCTAATATTTCGAAAACTGTCGATATATTTTAAACTAGTGAAATTGTTATTCACATTGTATTTGCATATCATACTTTAGGGTTCAAAATATTTTTCAGAATTATTATATACTCATAATTAATAAACTCATGATAATGAATAAGAATAATTTTAAAGAACATAAAAAATCTGTTGATAATACTTCGGTTTGGTTTCATTATTTATATGTTGAAAAGAATATGGTGGCACAATGTAAAAAATTTTCAAGAGTTATTAAAGTGAATGGAAGAAATACAAGCGGACTCGGTTTGGTTTCGGAACTTCGGTTTGGTTTTGTATGATACACATTTAAAAACAAAACACGAAATACAAATCTGTTAAAGAGGAAAGAATATAATTCCGATGAAGATACAAATTTAAGCACAGTGGAATGTGTGAAATTTAAGCATCGAAAAATGTGTGGAAGTGCTTGAATCTAAACTAGGGAAACATGGATTATCCCTGAAAGAAGATATTGTATCCATAACGACTGATGGAGCAACGGTTATGAAAAAAGTTGGAAATTGATTGGTGCAAATCAGCAATTGTGTTATGCTCATGGAATTCAATTAGAAGTAATATATGTATTATACCCAAAAAATAAAGAACAGAAGAACCCAAATACTGTGGATATAGAAACTTCTGGTTCCGAGTGATACTACATTGAAGAGAATGACAATGTAATTGTTGAAGATATTGCTAATGAGTATGAAATATTAACTCAGAATTGCTTCCTATAATTAATAAAGTTTGAAAAATTGTTAAGATATTTAAACATTCCCCTACAAAAAATGCTTTATTACAAAAATATATACTAATTGAAAATAAAACAGAACATATGTTAATATTAGACTCTAACACACGTTGAAACAGTTTACTCCTAATGATAGAACGAATTTTTAAACTGAAAAATCCAATACAAAAAGCAATAATCGACTTGAACATGCAAATTAATTTTTCTAGTTGTGAATTCGACTTAATATCCAAAACTGAATCAGCTCTACTTCCAATAAAACTGGCTATGGAGGCATTATGTCGGAAAGATTCTAATTTATTAACAGCTAATGCAGCAATAAATTTCATGTTGTAGTCACTGAAAGAACAGCACACATCACTATCGGAAGAATTATATATTAAATTGAAAAATCGAGCAGAAGAAAGGCATACCGAAATAGAAAATGTATTTACATAATTATAATAATTTTAAAAATGAAAAGAAAAAGAAGAAGAGAGACTAACCGAATCGAATTGGATCAAGTTTATATTAAATTTTCTTAACATTTTTTATCCACAAACCTATCTACATTCAAAAGAATTCGGCACAGTTATCGAAGATGATGATGACAGTAATGTCGATATCGATAGTGAAAAGTGAATTTCTCTTGAACAAAAATTAGAATTAGCGATAACTAAAAAAATTTCAACAAACCAAAATACAATACAGAAATCAGTTATATCCAAAATTATCCGACGAGAAATCGATTTATTTGAAGATGAGAGATTTAGAGGTAAATATTTTGAAAAAAGTATTGTGTGTGTGTATTTAATTATGGCAAAGCTCACTAGGGCTATCTGCCTAAGGGGAGGGAAGCCTTCGTGGAGGACTTTCTAAAGGAAACTGGCTCGTATACACGTTACACATGGGGAAAACCACGAAAACACCCATGCAGCCAGCCCGTTCGCGGGATTCGAACCTCGGACCGAACTACCAGTGTTCAGCGACTTTACCGCTCGGCCGCTTGTGGGCTTGAAAAAAGTATATCGGGCATTGCTAACAGTACCATCAACTAGTAGCGTAGATGCTGAAAGAGTGTTTTCGACAGCTGGTAACGTAAATTTGCACAAAATTATTTTCCAGGCTTAATGACAGTACAATTGATGCATTATGTTTTTTAAGATCACATTTAAAACTTTTGTAATAGTACCACATTCTGAATAGTGATATTTACACTATTTTTTATTTAAATACCTAGATGTTCCTTTTTTTTTTTTTTTTTTTTTTTACTTTTTGTAATTCTTTATATACTCTGATAATTTATAAGTTACAAATAATTTTTTTTTATATTTACTTTCTCTAATAAATCTGGCAAATAAAACAAAGGAACATCTGTGTTTTCTTTCTTTCTCTTAAATTCCTACTACCGGTATTAAGATCTAAAAAATACCGAATACAGTTATTGAACTTTTGGTCCGATATTGCAATCCCTAGTCCTCGAAACATCTCGGAAAAACATCGTTAGACTACATTCGATAGCGGTCAAAATGGATAATTTATTTAAAATATGATACCCCAAAAATTTTCGTGATTATAATACTTCCTTTAGTTCGCACAATGAAGTCAAAATTATGATGACCTTTGTGCGCAATAAATATGGCGCGATTAAAATTACTTTTTTAATTGCGCAATAACATTTATGAAATTGCGCAATAATAATTTTTCCTTTGAATCTGAAGCAGTTCAAAATTTTTTAAGGCAAAGTTTTATTTCACATTCAATAAAACATTCTAAAATAATTCCTAGACATTTCTTCAGACATAGTTCTGAAACATCAATTTATGAAAATAAGATTCAAGATTTTTCTACGAGATTCATGTATAAAGCAGAATTAGTATTGAGTTTTTATTGGCAATCAAAATCACACTTTGAAATATTTTAATTTGGGCAGTGCAACATATTTCTCTTACAAAGCCGAGTTTTTTACTAAATTCGAGACAAATTCATATAATGGCGTTTTTCCGAGCGGCAGCACAATTTTTTTTATATCTCCGAGTATTCTGATGCTTTTGCAGAGTTGCAATGCAAAGCTTTCAGATCGCTGAGCTTCTTATAAAAAGGTCGTTAAATTCGTGTAAAAGATATGTATATTGAATTTTTTTTTTTTTTTTTTTTTTTTTTTTTTTTTTGAAAAAAGTGGACGTCAGCCTTTTCGAGGACCCAGAAAAGAATTGTAGAAAGTTTGGTGACGATAACTATAGTAGTGATTGAGTATATCGCGAACAAACAAACAAACATTCTTCTTTACATTATATTGGTGATTATGTCTTCGGTTATATAATAAAGTACTTGTATATGCATAAAGTGTTTTCCTTTCGAAGCTTAAAAATTAATTTCGATAAAAAATGATTTTCTAAAAAATATGTTTGATTATCAATTTTGAAAAGTAATAATGTGCTATTTAAACAGTGAAAACTTAATTACTTAAACATTTATACTTACCAGACAGTACGGTATAAATATTTCGTCTAAAGATGATAACGATATATTCATTAGCGGAACATAAATTCTCTTTTTGTAAGATTCTTGTTGTATTTCATCTACGTTTCCAGTACCAGGACATGAAAATGCATCTTCTGTGATAGTGTTTGAGCAATCATCTTTCGCAATTCTGAAAATAGAGAAAATGCTACTCTGTTATAAAGCACCTGTAGAAAAATAATGAGTTATATCAATGGCAGTGTGTATCTATATATTAGGTCTTATATGGTCCCGTCATTCAGTGGCCTAATAGCTAAAAGAGGCCGAACACTGGTATTTAACTTCAAATTTTATTTCTAAAGGTGAACAAAGCTGATTGCATGAGGTTTAATTGTTTCAGTTATGTGTAACGAAAATATAAACTAGTTTTCTTTAAAATCATTCTCTACGAAGACATCAGTCCCCATAAGCAAATATCTTTTAGTACCTTTAGTTTATCTTAACTTTCCCAATAAATAATTCCATCCATTTTTTATCCCCCCAAACAGACGGCGTGGAAGAATCTGGTCACGACATTTTCCCCGTCAATCCAGGATGAAGAAACTTTATACTTTCCAACAACTAAATAGGATGTTTTAAATTTCGCCTTTAAAGGTAGAATATTAGATTAACGAATTCACATTTTTGACCCCCAATAAAAAAAAATGCAGTTACAAAGGAATCAATAAACTTCACGAAACGAAAAGATAAATATTTTTAACACAGTCCGAAATATCCCATTTCATCTATCCCCATTAACGTTTTCATTGGACCGGGATATTACCGGAAAGACTCCAGCTGAATTATTTGATGACAGAAAGTCAATAACCTCCCCAGATAAACTGTTTCCTGTTCAAAATAAGTTCGCAGAAATTAAGATGGCAGACACCCAGAAATTAATTTGTAAGGATTATGTTAATTTTATTAACAGTTAAGTTTTAAGTTAAAGTTCCTTTCCTGTCAAATTCTAACTTCAACTTACTACTTCCGTCCAGAACGTAATTTTGGAATCATTCTGAATACTTAATGATGAGGAGCGGTATTTAAACCGCGAAGTTACTTGCAGAGTTAGAGAGAATCAGAGTTTCTGATTTACGCGCGTCTGCCTTTTGGCTACTCTCTCTCTCTCAAGCTGTTATTACACTCGGCCGTACTCAGGCCCTTGATAAGTTTGGTAGTCAAATAGAGTTAAGGGGCCAACTCGATTAGATTCTTGATAGCTTCGGCTATATTCTTTAGTAAATCTTAGTTATAGTTTAATTTTTAGTCTCTTAAGTTCAAGCCCAAGTGTCGGCTTTGATTGTACACTCCAAGGCGGAGTTTTGTTAAATTTTATTGGAATAATAAAGGGTTAGTTACCCTTCCATCTTGTTGTTTCTTGTTACACGAACTTAAGCGATTATTCGCTAACTAGTTCTTAAGATTCGTCACTTTCTTCAGTAAATGAGAAATACACTAGTGAAAATCTTACAAATTGACGAGACAGTAAAAAATTCGATATCACTAAAGCAAAGCAAAAATTTTATTATAACGAGAAAAAGCAGGAATTGGATCTTAATTATTCGACACCCAAATACTCCATTTTCGAAAAGGCTCTTCTTATTTAACGAAAAAGTACTCATTGTATCTAAAGCCACTTATCTGGGCGTAGTTCTTAACAGAAAGTTAACCTGAACGTATCATATTAAACACATCAAATGCAAAGCTGTGGCTGTTATTAGTAGTTTAACACCTTTCATGGGTAACTTTTGATAAGAAAAAGCACACTTATACGGCCATGATAAGAGCCATCCTCTCGTATGCCTCGCCGGCCTGGGCGGCCGCTAAGGATATTGCCAAGTTACTAATTACACAAAATAAATTTCTGAGAAAATTACCGATGCGCACTTCTGCGTCCGCAATGACACTTTACATAGAAATCTCAAGATTGAAAGTTTCGAAGAATACCTCCACAAAATAAATGAGAATTTCTTCTCTAGAGCCTTTAAATGTTATCATCTCAGCAACAACGTTTAGATAACAGTATTCTGGATGAGGATTGCACATTAAGACTCACCTCACCCGAGATTCCAACATTTCCACATAACACGCATTTCTCATGTCACCTGTAAAATTCAACATATAGCTCTGATTTAACACATTTTTACTGCATTTGTTTCATTCATCTTATATTTGTTTACCATTAATTATTGTTTACTGTGCATTTTCTCAACTCAACAGGTAATTCATGATACTTTTAATTAAGCTGTAGTTATGCTTTGCACGTTACGACTCGCCTTTACGTTATTATGTCTCCATTGACCCTATTGTTTTGCTTGGTCTTGAAAGCCTGTGGTGTTTTTTACCTCCCTTTTTTTCACATCCTTAGTCCTCCTACTTTCCACGTGTCAGACTGTTCTACGTTATATGCCTGTACGGCTAAATTGTTAATGAGCCGGATACGTCACGCTCTGCGTGATATTCGCAGAGATACAGGTGACAAGCAAGGAGTTTAAGGTGGGAGATAAAGTTTCGAAATTAAACATTCTCTTTAGCGCCCTAGAAGAGGAAGTGAGGAAGTTTTTCCATAAGATCGAAGACTCATTTTTGATTATATTAGGAAAAGTTAGAGTACTTAAAAGTGCCGAATGGGGAATGTTTTAAGGGTAATGTGGATTAGATAAAGCACTATTATCGAACGCGCTGATATGCCTCTTCTTAAAGACGTTTTGAAGGAATCACCCAAAGCGAGCAAATAAGGCCATAAGGAAATATGGCGGAATGACCATCAACTTCGGGAATTCAAGGTCCACAAACAAAAAGGAAGCAGGCGGGAAATAGTGAACGAGACAAGAAAAAACTAAGTGCGATGAAGAAAGTAAAGCTACGGGTAAAAGGGGGCCAGGACGACAAAAAGGAAATGTTTCAAAAGGAGAGGAAAGGTGCAAAGTTCCAGAAGATGCGGCAATCAACCGAGTAAACAGCAACGACTAGTGGAAAGTCAAAGCACGAGGAATCAGGCGCCGAGACAGTTTTGCAGTGACAAGAAAAAATACGGTTATCCAAGGCAGAGTTCACGCGTCAAGCGCCCGATAGAGGACGAGCCATCATAGCTGAGAAAGCTCCAGAATAAAAGGAGGTTTTCGACGGCACAGCAACAGTGAGCCCAGCCGATGAAGTCCCAGGAGAATCAAAGGACATATTCAGGGGCGGGTCCAGGAGCAAGGAAGTGGCCGGTGTCTCCAGAATTTCCCCAACATAAGAGGAAGTCCGCACAGATACGCGAAACAGCCCACAGAAGCAAAAGCTCAGGTCACTCGGAAAAATGTCAACAGCTTCTGAGAAGGTTAAGAGTTCAGCACACAGCGACCTACCCTTCCTGGAACGAGTTCGTGAAGAAGCGGATGCAGGACTACTACCGAAGCAAAAGATAAGACAGTTTTATTTTAAGAATTCAGTTTTAGTTTTTATGAACAGTTGCTGGTTTTGTGGAATTCTGCCTGAAGCAAGAGCTTTTCAGGCTGATATACAGCAAGAAGCTTGTAATGTTGCGCGGCCCCAACCTGCAAGCAACAATAGTGGTGACTACTATTAACTGAAAAGTACACAAAGTCTTGAGAAGGGTTTAAATCCCTTTTTATTCAACCTTAGAAATTACAGTTGCGTGCTCTTGACGCTCACAAATTACAGTTGCGTGCTCTTGACGCTCACAAACTACACCGACCCGGCGGTAAAATAAAAATAAGAAACTAAAAATGAATAATAACAAGTTACTACCTACGAGGCTCTCTAAACGTAACTAACCTAACTGCGTTCTAAGATACCGCTGATATTTCAGCAAACTTCTGAATATTAAGTTGAAAGATTCAACTATCTGCCGAGGCACGCACACAGGCCGAAACGCGTGGTTCTTCAATTTCTACCTAGCCACCTCCACGCTCGTGAAGCAAGAAAAGCACACTATCGAACTCGTTTCCCCTCTATTTAACTCAGTATTACTTCCGCTGACAATTTGAATACTTTGCGCGTTCTACTAAAATTTACATACTCTGGCATTGCCAATTCCATGGGAAAGTAAGGCTTGACAGGAAAGATAGTTTAAACTTAAAATAAATGTTAGTTAAAATAAATATAAACCCTACAAGCTCTTTAATTTAATTATGCATTTATTTGAATGATTTTAAATGCTTAGTGCTATAATACAGTGACTTTAGCCCAAGAGTCAGTTTAGAGAAAATTTTGGCGTATTTGTACATAAGATTTAAGCAACTTCTGTAACCTGAGATTTAAAAAGGCAAGCAGAGTAAATATTTTGAATATAAATTAATTGTAAATGTTTCGTGAACTATGCTTGCTGACAGTTGTATAGAAGTAAATGTATTCTGTTAAATTAATTGTAAAAGTTAAAATTGATGATTTTTGTCTGAGATTTAAGTACAGAATAACAAATGATAATAAATTAATTTAAAGTAAAAGGTAAATAGTGAAGTAGTTAGTAGTGAAGTTAGTAAGTAGTGAAGTAGTAGTAGTTAAAAGTTAGGTTCTCCAGCCAAAAAAAAAAAAAAAAAAAAAATTAAGCTTAGCACATCAGTCCTGAAAATTAAGGTGTTCGTTGACGTCTAGTGTGTCTTTTTAAGTGATTAACTTGTAGGACTTTAGTCAAATGGCAGTGCTGAAATATTTTGTACAAGTATACACGCTCTTACATACATTACAATGCTGGAGAGCACGAGTGAGAAATTAATTTTAGAGAAATTGCAAAATGCATGAAGATGATTAAGTTAAATTGGTAAGTATATGAAATGTTATGTTTGCCCAATATTTTTAATTCCAGCTGCCTGAAAAGAGATGAGTTGTAGATATTAAAACTAATTTTGTTGTCAAGAAGAATTGTCCAAGAGTAAATCGTCTGTAAAACTGTTTCGATTTATAAATTTCTTGCCTGTAAAAATTGGCTCAGGGTTTAGGGTTTCCTTTAGTTTGCATAATAAATTATTTTTAAGTTTGGTACCTCTCCTGAACCTCTCATTTTCTCCTCGCATTTCCTCGCCAGGATACAAATTTAAAAGTCAAGTGAAGGGAGTATATGAAGAGACGAATCTAAAAGTTTATTCAGAGGGTAATCTCGCTAACCAGTCACTATTTTGTCCTCGCTGTTGGTACGCTGAGTTGCTGATACGCCCTTATGGGGTATATCGCCGGTGGGTTGTTGAGTTAGCCTAGTTATCTTATTAAATTGTTAACCCAATACTACTATTTATCTTTGAATTTATTGTTAAATAAATTATTCCTAAGTTCCACCGCAAGGATGAAATGCGTATGAAGTTATTGTAAGTATGAAATGCGTGGATTTGTGTTAAGAGTTTTGACGATTAATAAAGGATTTATTTTATTTATTCAAGCCTGTGCGAGAAGTCGCTGGATTTCCTAGTAAGAACATTTTACTTTATGATAGCGAAGAGAACAAGATCTTACAAGGTTAGGTTTAGAACTTAAAATCCGAACAAGACTTTCATTGTGATTACTTAAATTCTGGTGGGGATATATGTAGCATTTATTATTTAAATTAACGAGTTATTTATAATTTGAGCCTTTACTAAAACTTCTCGTTTCCTTTCGTCACCACAAGTGTAAATGAGTTAGAGAGTTTAAGCTGCGGGTTTCGGATTGTAAGACAGAGCATGTTTCTGCCTTTCTAGACCACATTTAGTTCTGACATCCCCGTTATTTATTCGGATTTGCGTTATTTCCTGCCGACATTTAAATTGTTACGCTGGTTAGAATCTAAGTCAGCTTAAATTTATATTTTAGTAGTCTTTGACTGTTTGCCTACGTTTTAATTTAAATCTGACTGTTATTTTAGTTACATCGCCACAAGTGGTAGTCGATCCTGCTAACACGTATTTCTCCCGCTTTCCTAGCGTGCCTTCGTAATGTAGTGAACAGCACACTGATCTGGTATTTCAGAGGTCCATGGTTCGATTCCCGGCGAAGACAGTTGCATATTTTTCATCTTTCCGGCCTCCTAAAAATTCCTAATGTCTCTGCAGTGGCTTCCGAACTAAAAGAGTGTTGGAACTAAAAGAGTGAAAAATACGGAATTTGATTCAAATTTTCTGAAGTTCATACCAGCGTCTTGAAGAATTTTAACTGCACTGCATCAGTTGATAATGAGAAAGATTCGTCAACGGAGTCTGCTCCATGGATAAGGTCATCAACATATAAGGACTTATTTAACCCATTAACCGCCAAAACTACAAGGAATGTTTCTTTTCTCATGAAAATAATAGCAAATATTAAATTAAGCATTTATAACATAAATTTACATTGAAAATTAAAAAAATGCTCTTACCTGTGGAAAAAGCGAGTGTTGCGTTAGCGCAGCTTCAGCGGAATAAGACTACGGATGTTTAGTGAGTAAGATTGTGGAGGCTGGCGCTGCGATCACCGAGGCAGCTCAGCTCAGCTAAGCGACCTAGGAGCGTTCTTGATAGAACTTTTAACATCTTTCCTAGGAAGCCAAAGCGGAGGTGTCTGCTTGACTAGGAATTCTTTCTAAAAATTTTTAAATTAACAAGCACTTCACGGGCCTAACCCGGCGACCCTTAACTATTTCTATATTTCCACATGCCCGCCGGACCTAATTCGGCCTCGTTTCTCGGTTTCATATCCGTGCTGCTATAGGTAACATGCTCCTCCACTTGCCAAGACCTCATCTTTTCATAAAACACGGTCCAGACAATTAAAAGACAGAATTACAATAGATTTAACGTTTCTATATTATTTTATCATTTAACTTAAACTATTTAATTATTCAACTTTAAATTAATATTCTAATCTTTAAAATCTAGCTCCCTCATATGCTACTCAAAACACTTTTACTATATGAATTTTTGTTCCAGCAACCTGCATATATACAAGCTTGCATATCTTCAGACATCATCTGCAATCAGGTAATTCAGTTTAATCCTGTCTCTATTTTTATTCCTTACCCTTTTTAATCCACCTCTTCGCTCCAACTTAAACCTTTTTTCCCCCCCTGCCTTTCCTTTAACTCTCTTGAAAAACTTCTCCGTCTTTTCTACAGTTAACTTTCTTCACGGTTCTTTCCGCTTCAAAAGTTGCTCCTATTCTTCCCTCGCCACGGGCGGTAGAACTTTTTCGCCTCTAGAACTCTTTCCCCCCCTTCTTTTCGTTCCACCTTTCCTTGCTCCGAGCTTTAGTCGCAAGACTCTCTCCCCCCCCCAGCCCATCCCCAAGGCATTAGCAATTACTGCGGTTTTCCGTATTACCTAATATACCTTTCCCAAGCCCTGGAAAATTATGTTTCCCGGCTGATTGTCTTCCAATCTTTTTGATTCCATTAATGCAATGCATTCAGGAATTCGCCTTCAATCATCACCTCTCTCTCTTTCAACCTAGTAAAACAGGTTGAAAGCAGAAAGAATTTTTTCGTCCTTAGTGTGGACTTCTAACTCACTTCCTTCCCCGTAAACCCTTAATGGTTTCCTTCATTACCCTTTAGCCAGTGCCTTTTCTTAATTACTTCAGTTTTCTTAACGAAGTTGTGGAGGTAATTGCATTAAGTTGCAAAGGTACTCCGGAAAATATCGCCTTTCTCCTCACCCAGGATTTGGCGACTATGTCCCCTAAAAACCCTAGTCGCCCTTTAAAAAGGGGAGTATATAAAGTATTTCTCCCGCTTTCCTAGCGTGCCTTCGTGGTGTAGTGGTCAGCACACTGAGCCGGTATTTCAGAGGTCCGTGGTTCGATTCCCGGCGAAGGCGATTGCATATTTTTCATCTCTCCGGCTTTTCCAATAAACCAAATGTTTCTACACATGAAAAGTGCATTTATGTTCAAATTTTGTATTTAAATACAAAGGTTATTTTAAAACTATTCCAAGACTTTTTAGTTAACTTCAGACACAGTGATAATTCGCTTTATGTCTATAAAACTGGTTTAGGCTCTCACAGGCAAGCCAAACTCTATACTTAACTAATATCAGCAAAGTCGAATTTCGATAAACAGATCCATTTTTCGAAATTTCCTTCGTTATTTAACTTTTAGAAACTTGCTTTTCAAGGAGCTTCAAAGAGGCCTCATTATACATATATAACGTAAGTGCATGGTAACTTTCGAGTTATCTTTAATGATTTCATGCTTAATAAAGGTTTTAAAGAAACGTTAATAACTCCAGCACGGGGAACTTATCTAAAAACACAGTGCTTATCAGGATTGCTCGTAAGGGCCAGGCCATGTGTTTTGAGGTGGGACGATAAAATAGTTTCATGTGATCATATTTAGCAGGCAGTGAGTAGAGCTACGCAATAGAAAACAATAGTGAGATATCTAACATACTAAAAGACGGTGTAATCCAAACATCAGTAGAACACTTAAAATTTGAACTTAAAAAATAACTTAAAAACCATTTTCGCGAATTTAAATTATACGGTATACCATTTGATTTGAGAATAGACAAAAATTAAGCTGCTTTTTAAAATAAATTTTATTATATAAATATTTCAGCTACAACCAAGCCCAGGAGACTGTTATTAAGAAAGAAAGATATTATGCGCTTGACCCCTATATTAAGAGCTGCAAGGAGAAGGGATAATAAAGTATATGACATCATGTCATTGACAGTATGAGTTAGTGTTGGTAAAATGTTATTACTTTAACAAAGAAACAACAGTAATTGCAGCTTTCCCAGCTGACGACCTTGCAAGGTCGGGAAAAAAATCATAAATAAAATATAGCTGATTCTTTCAAAGAACTCTGCAATTGTTGAAAAATTGGACATAAATGGTATTATAGCATGTTAGCAACAAACTTTCCCGAAATTTGAGCTGCCATTCCAGCATTAAAGACTAGCTAAAAAAATTCAGTGTCTTCATAAATAGCATTTGAAATATCTTCGTAAATTTATTGCTTCCGATTCTGAACTTATTGTTCGAGCTGTAGTAAATCAAGCGCCATCTAGTGACTGTAACTGAACGAACTAAAATGGATATAACGAATTTGTACTGGGAGCTGAAAACTATATGTTTTTTTTGCATTTTTGTGTTGATTGCTTAATTGTGCAATGCAAATTCACCGAACAGCATTACTTGAGAGGTTTATAGGCGTTTAGGTCAACATATATTTAACCACAAGTACTGCATTAGATGTTGGTTAAAAAGGAAAAATTAGTAGAGGAAGAACTATTTTCGAAATTGCCCAGCGAATGAAGTTGACGCAAGAAAATTTTATTGCATAGTAAAATTAGCAAAGATAACCAATTAAATAAATTTTGCAGAATGGGAAGAATATGTCTTTTCCTTTTCTTCTTCTTTTTTATATGCATTTAATCAATAACGTTTTTAATATTAAAAAATTTCCTATTAAGTTTCTTTTGTGAAGCATTTTTTGTGGAATGTTTTTTTTTCGTTAAAACAAGTAGTTTATTGAAACGTCATATTTTACAATACATAAGCATTTAATTGTATTTAAATTGCCAATAATTTACAATTCGTTTAAAATTTCGTGTTCAGTTTACAGAAGTGTTCATCAGTCAGCTGGAACGTATACTAGAAAACAGTTTTTACAAGCAACTTATGAAATTATTAACTTCCTAAGCAGTGTACAAGACTGGATCAATTGAGTTAGCCTTAATGATGTAATGTAAGTTTTTAAGTATTAACAATTCAATTAGGAAAATAAGAAAAGTATTACTTTTGGTACGATTTACATCTCAAAGCGCAAAAATATAGACATACCATGTTTGACTATTTACAAGTATCAAATTAGAAAATTGTACAAAAATTATTATAGCTAAGACTTTTCTCAGTTAAGTAAAAATGTAAATAGAAAGATAAAAGTATATTTAAGAAATTATTATCTATATAGAATCTTATGCAGAGGAAATTTGCATAAGATTCATATAATACAAGTAAAAGTTTCAGATAAAATTACGAAAAGCTTTAACTAATAATTACACAGCTCTATTTAAAAAAAAAAGATTTGTATCAATGTAAAAGGTTTAATAGAAGAAGAAGGGATTTTTATTATTACCTAAGGCTGTAATAAATAATATCCAAACCAGACATTAATATTTTCATATCTGTAGGCAAATTATTAATATTATCAATATGTTTTCTGGAATATGTGTCAGAATGCGAAGTAGGAGAAAAAAATGCTGACATATCTTTCAGGCATGAATGCACCACATGAAGAATAGAAGATAAAGGAAAAGGCGTCGGCAGGTTCCTTTTCCTGTAATCAATCGATATAAAACTAAATTAGTAATCATAGACTCTTAAAAAGTAAAATATTTTCTCAACTAAATATTGGCTATTCGGAAAGTAGTTTTTTCCCAACAGAGGGCTTAATTATACTTTTTCACAGACACAGCATAGTCATTAATATTTTGACAGCTGATATAGCAAGGCTTGTTTGTAAAAACGTTTGATTCATTCTACGCAGTAGTTTCTGGTTGATGCCCTTTCAAATATGGAAAAAGAAAAATCAGCATTTTCGGCATATTTTACTTTTTTCTCTATCGGAAAGGTAAAAATGCTGTTCAAACAAGATAAAATTTATCTAACGTGTATAGAGAAGATGTATTGACAGAACCTCCAGTGTCCAAACTGGTTTGCAAAATTTCGTTCCGGCAGTTTTGATCTTGAAGATGCACCACGTTCTGGAAGGTCAACTGAAGCTGATGGAGATCTTAAGAATATGAGGAACCCATATGTCTAACTCTGAGATTAAACCCAGTCTTTTCAAATGACAACGAACAGTCGAATTCGATAAATTTAATATCTCAGCGATCTCACAAGTTTTCATTTGCCGATTTGCATCAATTAATGCCTTGTGTCTTCATTAGCTTGAACTGGCTTTCCAGAACGTGGTGCATCTTCAAGATCAAAATTGGTGGATTGAAATTTTGCAAACCGGTTTTGGTACTGGCGTTCTGTCAATACATCTTCTCCTTACATACGTCGGATTTTTTTTTCTTATTTTAACAATATTTTTACCTTTCCGAATGTAAAAAAGTAAAATATGCCATAAAATGCTGGTTTTCATTTTCCACATCTGAAAGAACACCGACGAAAACCTGCTGCGTAGAATCAATCGAACTTTTTCACAAACAAACCTTCATGTATCAGCTGTCAAAATATATAATGATTATGCTGCTTAAGTGTGATATTGGCTGTGAAAAAATACAGTTAAGCTCTCTTTCAGGAAAAAAAAAAAAACCAAATTTACTTTCCGAACAACCCAATTAGATGAAAAAAATCCAAACAATGAGAAAAAAATTAAATTTTTTTATTTTGAACTTAACTAATTGACTAATATTTTAAATGCTGCACTTTTTTTTTTCTGTTCATCTTTCCAGATTCAATTAATGCGTTCCAGAAGTATCCAGATTAAACGATTATAAAAGACAAATGCAACGCGCTTGTGAAATGTAATACTTAAAACAGTTTTGCAGCTATGGATTGCTCTGTTTTGTGAATCCCTAGTTATCTGACATTTGAACGAGTAAATAAAACTACCTTTATGAAATTTCCTATCTTGACACTTTACAGCTTCATATCTAGAGAATTCAAAAATTTTGCTTTAATTTTACCGTCCAAAACAGTGGTAGGAAATAAAAATATTTTGTTAAACTTGTGGATTGCTAACTTTTTTCCAATATAATTACTCGATTAATTAAATTAGTCGTTCTGTGCAAAATTTAAAGGTTCTTTGTCTTGCTGCAAGTTCCATAAATATCTCAGCTGCCACAATTTTTAATAATATATAATTTTAATAATAATATAACCATTAGATACCGAAAACGTCTTATCTGGATTTAATCTGCGTAGTTAATTACATAACTTAAGTTGTGTAGTAACAAAAATTCGACTGAAAAAGTTGTCTAGATTGACAAAAGTAAACACGTAATATTAATCATAATTGTAAACAGATTCTTTTACATAAAAACTGTCATATTAATATTTAAAAATCAATATATTTTCAAATGATATAAATACGAGTCTTTAGAATTCGGCAAAAACTATCTTGATGAACAAAAGAGTTTTATTATCCGCTTTAGTTATCTGAATAATTTCCTAACAATAGTTTTGAATTATTTTTTAAGGTTCAATATGTTATTATTATGTGCAAGCATTTCAGGCATAAATATTTACTTTTGTGCCCTAAACTTAGAATTTATTTCCAATTTTAGCACAAAGCAATTTAGTATGAAAAGTTAGAATACCAAAACGAAAAAATATATGGAAATTTAGAATAACATTAAATGCAAAATCTATAGATCCTTTTTAAAATAACAGAGAAAAAATGTTTATATCCATTTACAGAAATATTAATGAAAATTTATTCAAGATATTTTTATTTAATCTTATATAATTTAAAATTTAAAAAGTTAGCTGAAAAATTGTAATCTCACCAAAGTTAGAGTAATAAAAGGCTACTAAATGAAGCTTACATAAGCAAAACTATAAAAAATCTGCCAGCAGCAAGAAGCACAGTAGTACTGCGTACTTTAAACGCTTTTTCAACCAGTTTAATAGATTGCTGGAAAAGGGAGCATCGAATTGAACCAGAAGAAAGACACTGGTCACTGTGGAAAAGAAATGGTAAAAATAAGTGTAAAGTAAACAATAACTAAAACATAATATGCTTTCGTTAAAGGTAATTGCTTTTTAATATTAAGTAATGAATTCCTTAAGGGGTGTTGGAAGCCAAAAATCTTTCAAAAATGGTGATTTGGGATTTTTGCATTTTAAAAATTCTCTACACTTTTAGCTTTGTAAAAATACACACTTTAATCTCTATGAAAATTAGAAATGTAAAAAAAAAATCTTGTTTTAATTTATCATCGAACGCTTTGATCAATGAAGATTTTTACATGAAAATGCGTTTTTCTCCGAATAAAATAATTATCACTTTTTTTTTTTTTTTTTTTGAGAAAAGTACTAAATTTTACTATGCCTAATAGAATATTCTATAAATTACTCTAAAATTCAAAATATTTCAAAATCTCCATTCAGCATAATTAAATAGGTGTGCTTTAATTATACAAATAATTTTCTAACGTGTATCTACAGCAGATCTTGAGAAAAGGTATAGGGAAAATGCCAATGTCCAGTATAGGGAGTTCCGACTCTCCTAAGTTATTATATTGTTACGAAATGTCCAGCACGGTATGACAGCTTCCCTGCGAAGCGGCTTTAGGCTTGCCAGATTTGGCGTGAAATCGGCCATTTGGCGACAAAAATGGCGATATGCTAGACGCAGCGAGAACATTCTAGAACGAATTCTTACAAGTTTGGTCCAGAATGTTTTCAAAGGCAGGCCAAAAGTTATATAAACCCTCCCTTGCACGCGGAGTAGCAGTGTATCGTGAGTTTTATCGTGAAGAGTATCTTGAGTGTGTTAAGCTCCAACGATCGACCGAGTCGGGAGCTGTATCTTAGTGTTTTGGCGTGGAGCTGTCTTCACCGTTGTAGCCTGATAGCTGTGCTGCTGATTGTTCAGCGTGTTATTTAGCTGATTTTTTTCAGCATGTATTTTTCAGCTTGTTTATCAGCGTAGCTTTTCGAGGACTGTAACGCGTCTTTGGAACTGTCACACTGACGAATAAATTGTATTTTGATTCTTCATCAAGAGTTGTCGTCAATTACTCTAAGTGATTAAATATTCATCATAATCGAAATGATTGTAAATCGTCATTATTGAATTTTAACCTCTCTTTAAAGTATCTTATGTTCCCCAAAAAACTTTGTGGAGTTATAGATGATAGCCATTGATGTAAACTTAACATAACAAAATAAGAGTTTCAAGCTTAAAATCTGATTTTTGCGCCCTGTTTCATTCTGAAATCCCGACAAGGTACCAATTGTTCTATCTGCTTTGGTTCGCATTTGTGACTAACTATTTATCCTAAGGGACTATTTATCCTAACTATTTATCCTAGGGCAATAATGCTGAATTAAATGTCATACTTTATATTTTAAGAAAACTGACAGTTTTAAAAGGGGGGATGTTTGTTTCTCCCATTTTCAAAAGAGGGGAATTTCTTTCAGAACATTGTAATATTTTAAGTTCTTCGTTCTGTCATTTTTTTTTTTTTTTTTCATTTTTAAACATCCAGAAATTTACAAATTAATGTAATAAAAGAAAAGAGGAGTCAAACAGTGCATTAGCTACAGCAGACGGTAGTTGATTCACTGCTGTTTTCCTATCATTCGCGCGATTACCAGTTGCTCTTATATAATGGATTAAAATTGATACCTTGTAGCGACATTAGTTATTGTTTGGAAGCAGAAGAGATGAAAAATGAGCATCGCCTTCGCAAGGACTCGAACCACGGGCCTCTCGAATACGCGCCAAGCGTGTTGACCACTACACTACGAAGACATGCTAAGAAGCCGGAAGAAATAACTTAAATAAATATGAGTGAAAGTTCTCCAATTTTTCAGTAAGATTTAGTTGTTGTTGAGAAACTTAGTTGGGAATCTTCCTAGAATCGACATTTCAGAGTATTATTAGTTATTGAATAGCTACTTCTTGTTTATGGATTAGAAATTAAGCTATTGATTATTTTTGACTTGCTGCATGAGCTTATATTGTACTTAAAGAAACTATGTTTATATTTGGAATTATCTGTGTTATTTTTATTTAACACTAATTTTTATTCCGTGTTATCATTAATTATAGTAATTAAAATAGTTATTAGAATTGGTTTAGTTTTGAATTTTCTTCTTTTAAATTAAAGCATTAGTACTGACTATTTGCACGCCCAAGTGGGGCCATCTGTGAATATATATGAGTTAAAATAAAAGAGTATTTTAACCCTTCTTCTGTTGTTCAAGACCCAGTAGAACTTAGCGAAGAGTCGCTTCGCAGTTCTAGTAAGTTCTAACAATAAAATAATTTAGCTAGAATAATATAGTGTGGTGTTACATATGGCTCTATTGGAAAGATCAATCCAAACATATAAAACAGCTCAAGTATCACACAAGAACAATGATATATAATAAAAAAATCTGATGTGTACACGACATGACTTCCTTGCACGGAATATTAAATTATACGCATTTTTTCTTGCATTTCATTTAAACTTATTGGATGAATTAAATCTACATCGTCAATAGCGCATAAACCACAATAGAATAAATGCACACGAAAATTCACTATATTTGTTTACCATAGCGACACTCTGGAGCTAGGTTCACTTAACAGCGTTACATTTCGTAAATATTATAACTCAAAATGCATATAAATTTATATCATTTGAAGAATTATCCAATCGTTGCCAGATGTTCCATTCAAACACTATAATAAATCTAAAACGAAGTATAAAGAAATTAAGCAAACAAAACAAAAAAGGAACAGTTTTTTCACGACGATTCAGTATTTATCATTCAATTAATTCAGTTCTCACTTTCCGACAAGGCAAAAATACATAAAAACTCAAAATATCTATATTAAAAATTACGAAGTAAATCTTAAAAACTTATTTCCTCGAAAAAATTGCCAGAAAGGATTAAGCATAATTTAATTCGCAATAATAAATGAAGGCGTTATCTTTGTTGTTGCCAAGCTACGTTTCTCTAGACTGGCACAACTAATCCACTATCCTGCTGTTTCAAATGTAAACAAGCAATGGCCGCCATCGAAAACATTCATTAGGCTTAGCGGCAACTTAAACCAAATTTAAAATTGCTTGAATAATTCTCACAAATATTGCATGATAGATTTACTAAAGACATAAAAACCTTAACCGGAAGATAAGAACAACATAATTCAATCATTTTTAAAGCAAAAAATGCACAATTTACAAACATATAAGAATAAAGAAACTGAGCTCACTGAGCCGAGTAACAGAGTGGATATATACTATATACATACATTTATATACTTTTTTTGCGGCCGATTGCAACCAAAATACGAGGTGCACATCTACGTGTTATATAATAGCAGTCCTACATACAAAATTTCAACGTTCTGAGGCTACTCGTTTTTGAGTTATGCGAGCTACGTACGTACGCACAGACACCACGAAAAATTCTGTTCAGAATTCATTTTAAATCAGTTTTATATTTTTTTTTGGGGGGGGGGGAAAGAGTCCTTTATTCTGTCCTTACTTGCGGATTGCACGCAAAAACATTATTAAATTGCATTGGATTGTGGTAAAAATCGATATTTTCTTTGAAATATGATACCCGAAATTTTTCGCGATTACAATACTTCCTTTTTTTTTCGTACAAGGAAGTAAAAAGAACAAACATTTAAAAAAAAAAAAAGAATCAGAATAAGTGAACATGACAACAAAAGTAAAAGTTACAAATTCAAACAACAAAGAAAAGAACATAAGAGATGTAGTCTTTACAAGGAGTTCATGAAAGCTCTGGCATTTCCGTATAGTTTACTTATCTCACTCTTTATTTGAGACTCTTTATCTAGTTCCGGGCATATAAGAAGATACTCTGCATTTATGATACCCGAATTGAAAATTTGGCACATACTAGATGGAATATATCAATTTTATTAAAATGATATGCCATGCAATCGTGGCCTGTTTTGCAGTCTGAAGTTTGTCACAGGCTCTTTACGTGTTTTTTTAAAAAACCTTTTACGTGTTTCCTGAATGTTAGCCCAGGATTTGCCTGTTGATTTTACTGTCTGGTCAGATTTAAGAGTATCCATTAATTTCTCAAAAATATGCCTTTTAAGTGACTCTGGAGGAAGTGTTTTGCCATCTTGTAGCTCAAGTGTTCCTCTCTTGGCTATAGTCTGCCGTTTCATTACAGTCGATACCTACATGTGAAGGAATCTATTGAGAAACGACTGTTTTGTTGTATTTATAAAGAAAGTTCAAGGTTTGTCTTATTTCTGAGATAATCTGGGTATCTGTGTCATGATTTATAACTACAGCCTGGATGGTTGCTTTGTTCGTCAATCGAATGGTTAAAGCGCTTTTTTACAGTTATATATATATATATATATATATATAGAGAGAGAGAGAGAGAGAGAGAGAGAAGAGATGAAACTATAAAAAATACAGATAGATATATATATATTTTATATATAGCTTCAATTTATCTTGTACTATCGAAGCATTTGTCTGACTCGTGGCTTGGCACATTGCTTATTTTCAGAAATGTTATTATTTGACGTTCCGCAAGATCTCTTAATTTATTTTTCAAATTAAAAAACAGTATATTGACTAAACTGAGCAATTTAAAATCAATATGAATTATTTTTGATAATTTAAAGCTTTATTTGATTTTATTTATTACTATTTTTTTTTTTTGTATTCTTCCTAACTGATGTGATACATATAACATGTAATTAAAGTATTTATGATATACCTAATTAATTATTTCTAAAATAAGCATCTTTATTAAGCACTGTAATTAAGGAAAGAATTTACTGACATCATATATTAGTGGAAAGCAGAGATATTATTACTTTTCTATTATGCTTTATTTTCTTATAATTTTTTACTTAATATTCATTTAAATTCATTCACTAAGAAATTTATGTATGTACAGAGAAAACAATATTACACGCTGAGAAAAACAAAGGGTCGCTGGGGAGAAATTTTCGGGGACA